CATGAAACAGATCAGCAGCAACATGAAACAGATCAGCAGCAACATGATGTGATTTTTCACATTGATTATCCTGGTTAGAGATTCATGAGTCTAACAGCCTCAGGGTAGAAGCTGTTCTGGTGATACTGGTGATACTGGTATTCCAGTATTTTCCAGTTCATAGCAGGCTTGGTTGTTCCTTAACTCCCTAATCCATTTGCACTCCTCCTTACATACTGTAGGTCCAAAAAGGTTGTAAGAAACTGGACGTATTCTATTAACGAATAGATGAAAACCTGAAGAATACAGAATGTATACAGTGTCCAGTCGCTTTATTATTATTATTTTTTTTACTTTTTAGATTTGTCCTGTCGTAAATGACTGATAATCGACACCAACCTTCTTACACAGATCTTCACTAATTCCAAGGACTTTTCTTTTTGTTTCGAGTGATGATCACAACCTCAGTCAAACAAACTCTTGTATAATGTGGCTGAAAAAAATAAATAATCTAGCTGCTGCAGTCGATTGTAATCGCTCCCTTAACAAAAAGTAGTACATTTGAAGTATACTTTAAGTTAAGTATAAGTATATCAAGTATACTACACACCATACTTGTAGTGTACTAGAAGTATACTGATTTAATACTTGTTTGGACTAAATTGAGACATTTTTATACTATTTTTAAGTATATCAAATAAACAACAAAGTCCATGCTCAATAATCCAGGTATACAATCCAACATTTTTCAGTCAGGTCATCTGGACAATTATTTTTTTCTGCTGAAACGTTTCGCCTTCGATCTGGAAAGCTTCATCTTTCCTTGACTGATGAAGCCTTCCAGATCAAAGGCGAAACGTTTCAGCACAAAAAAAAAAAAAAACTGTCCAGATGACCTGACTGAAAAATGTTATATCAAATAAAGTTTATAAAAAGTAAACTTCAAGTACACTTCCTCATTTTTAGTGTAAAATAAGTATACTTGTAGTATACTTAAATAAACTACTTTTTGCTAAAGGGGATGACAAAAAACAAACCAGCAACAACTGTCAGCAGTACTTATTAAAGCATAGGTGAATGTATTTGTGTATTTGAGCCTGTATGTGTGTATTGTTCGACACCCAGTTGTAAAAAAAAATCATTCCACCCTGAAAAGGAACTATAATGTTCGTGCTCAGTGTGAGCTCTGCTCCTCAGGCTGTTTTCATTGAACCTTCATATTGTTAGCTGGTAACTCATTATTTGATCAGACCATGTTTATCTTGTTCTACCACATGCCTGTTCCTCAGTGAAGTCCTCCTCTACCTGCTCAGCACCTGGTTTCACCTCTTTGCTCCACCGCTGCAGAACCATGCCGTGTATTTTATTATGACCAGTCAAACGAGTTTAAACATTTAACATTCCCATTTTTACTGGATGTTGATTTGAACAAGTTTAAAAACTGTTCAGTTTATTTCTGTTTAGTCTCACGTTTGGTCCTCCTTGATTGCATTAATTTTTTTAACATCACCTCTAACGTCACTGAGGTCATTTTTTCCTCGCTCACCGTGTCCCTCCTTGTTTGCAGAGACTTCTGCTAAGGAGGGTCTGCTGCTGTGGTGCCAGAGGAAGACTGCCCCCTACAGGAACGTCAATGTGCAGAACTTCCATATCAGGTTGGTCTGCAGCGCCCCTCTGTGGCAACAACCCGACACTGCAACCCCTTTGATTATAGTTTGTGTTCTGCTGTGAAGCTTTACATGAAGACTTTGTCCTGTTTCAATTTCCTGTTGAAATCATCTGGTGTTTTCTGTTTCCTCTCCTCCTCGTGGTTCAGTTGGAAGGACGGCCTGGCCCTGTGTGCCCTCATCCACAGACACAGACCTGACCTCATCGACTACTCCAAACTGAGAAAGGTGACCATCGTTTCCTTCTCTGGTCTATTGCGCATGGCAGGGGTGTCCAAAGTGTGGCCCGAGCGCCATTTGCGGCCCTTGGAGTTGTTTTGTGTGGCCCACGACTGCAATTAAAGAATGGTATAATTTTGACCCACAGGCTTCAGAGGTTGATGCAGATGTAGACCTTCTGTAGATTTAATGGTGATATGTTTTAAATATAATGTTTAGGGTAAAAAAAAAATATATATACATATATATATATATATATATATATATATATATACACATACATACATACATATATATATATATACACATACATACATACATACATACATATATATATACATGTATATACATAATAAAATTAAGTACAATACTAACCCTTTATCCTACAACAAACTTTCACTGACCTACTGAAAAGTGGACTTTTGGATAATAAATCATAAAACTTGGATAAATATAACAGGTGTTTTCAAAAAAATATAATTTCAGCTTATTTAGTAATCGATGGGGAGAAAGTGGATATTTTTAAAGGAATATAAAGCGGTATCATGGACATGCAAGTTGATCAACTGCATTCTTGTTCCTTCCAACCCTCCATGAATCTGTTTTAGTGACTACCAGCTGTTTTTCATCAGTTTTGCTGTTAAATCTAAACATTATACAAAAAAAGGATTACCAAGTAATTTGCAGAAAGTCTTCATCGACCTCTTAAGCCTGCTGGATAAAATGATACCATTCTTAAACTGCAGTTGTGGTCTGCACAAAATCACTGTAAGGACCGCAAATGGCCCTCGGGCCACATTTTGTGCCTTACCAAATATGTGCCAACTTCTGAAACCAAACAAAGTCCGACGTTCTGACACTCGTTCTGTGTCGGCTCCAGGATGACCCTATTGGTAACCTGAACACGGCCTTCGAAGTAGCTGAGAAGTTCCTGGACATCCCCAAGATGCTCGACGCTGAGGGTGAGGCTGGGAAACAAAGCCAGGAGGCAGAAACCTTTTCTTCTTATTTATACTGAGACAGAATGAACACTGGGAGACGACGGAAGGTCTAAATGTTCTGTTTGTCTTTGACATTCACTGATCGGCTTAAAAACCTGCACGTTTAAATCCACTTGAGTATTTGATGATTCTGAGATCAGAACAGTTTTTAGCAGCTGCTATCATGAAATATTACAAATCATGTTTTAATCTATTCATAAATCAGTTTATCTAAAAAAAAGTTAAATCTGGTCCTCTGGACATTCAAAAAAAAAAAAAATTGTAGAAACGTTTCATCCTTCGGGTGAAAGACGAAACATTTCTACAATTTTTTTTGTTTTGTTGTTTTTTTTATGTCCAGAGGACCAGATTTAACTTTTTTTTATTTATTTTTTATTTTCTACCTGGATTAATGAGCACGCATCAGGATATAAATCAGTTTAATTTATACATCTTCTCATGTTAAATTCAAGGGTGAATAAATTATTTTTAATGTGACTTAAATCAGCTTTACAGTTTGTCATACATTAGAGCTTCAGTATCACAAGAACTTGATGTTATTTAACAATGCTTCTTAGAGTTTGATCATCCTAAGCTGTTTTTCGTAATATTTGCTTTTATTAACTTCAGATATTGTGAACACACCTAAACCCGACGAGAAGGCCATCATGACCTACGTGTCCTGCTTTTATCACGCCTTTGCTGGAGCTGAGCAGGTCAGATTTAGTTTTATTTATCAAGGACTGGATTAAATGACTCTGTCAACATATAACCAGGTCAAATGTTAAATGAATAAAACAGTAGTGTGAATTTTGATATACATTTTATTTAATAAGTTGTTTTGCTTCGTCTCAGGCTGAGACAGCTGCTAACCGTATCTGCAAGGTGCTGGCAGTGAACCAGGAGAACGAGAAGCTGATGGAGGAGTATGAAAAGTTGGCCAGTGAGGTGAGAACCTGCAGCACAAACTCACAGATGTTCCGTAACGTGATCCAACATCTGGGCACTTTGACACCAGCTGAGATGTCAACAGCTTTTACTTTAGATGCACGACACTGAAGTTTTCATCGATGTGATGCCCTGCATCAAATACGTATCAAACCTTAAACTTTCTGGACAATCCTCACCGCTTCGTGATCTTTGCAGCTGCTCGAGTGGATCCGCCGCACCATCCCCTGGCTGGAGAACCGCGTGGCCGAGCAGACCATGCGCGCCATGCAGCAGAAGCTGGAGGACTTCCGTGACTACCGCCGCGTCCACAAGCCGCCACGCGTGCAGGAGAAATGTCAGCTGGAGATCAACTTCAACACCCTGCAGACTAAACTGAGGCTGAGCAACAGGCCCGCCTTCATGCCCTCCGAGGGCAAGATGGTGTCGGTGAGTAGCTGCTGCTGCACAGCATCATTTAGAAAGATCACACTCCTTCCTTTTCTTTCTTGCTTTATGTTTTGGCTTCATCCAGATGCATAGAAGCATAAACTCTATTTTTCTGTAGATTGACACAAATGTTCACAGACATTGGTTTCTCAGACCACACTATTGGTTGGTTTCCTAATTACCTCTCAGATTGAAGGCAATGTGTTCAACATAACGGTACTTCTTCCAGCTATTTAACTGTCAATAAAGGTGTACCACAAGGCTCAGTCTTAGGTCCCACCCTTTTCACAATCTACATATGTAGGTAAGATCATTCCTGATGCATCCCTACATTTCTATGCAGACGACACAGTTCTTGTTGTATTTACCTTTCATTTTATATGCTTTCAGAATATGATTGTTTATTGTTGTGTGTACCTCATTTATGTTTTTTGTTTAAAACAGGTCTCTCTTGTAAATGAGTCCTCATAACTCAATGAGACCAACCTGTATAAATAAAGGTTGAATGAATGAGAAAGGTTAAGTCAGGTCCTCTGGACGGATTCAGCTTGTGAAACGTTCGTCCTTTGTCCAAAGGACTTCTTTAGTCGTAACGTTTCAACAAGAAGAATCCACCCAGAGGACCTGACCTGACCTTGTTAGATGTATCTACGTGGGTTATTCAGGATACTTTACAGGCATGTTTCATAATCCCCAATCAGATCTACTATGATCCAAACTGAACTGCTTTAAGACTTCAATGTAATAATTTGTTAAACCACAGCAAACAAATGAAAGGAAAAGAACAAGGTGCAAACATCACATCCTAAAACAATAAATACTGAGGTAATGGTGTTTGGAAAATGGGATTCACGTTTGTCGCATACCTGAGTGTGTAGGATGGTCCAAAGGCATCCGTTCTAGTAGTTTTTGGTACACACAGTTCTTTATCAATGTTAAAAACAGCAGTGTTGACCAAAGTGCTTCACAAACAAGAAATCAGCAAAAAATAAATGAAAGATCAAACATAAACACAAGTATAATAAAACAGGTAAGAACAAACTAAAACAAGAAAATAACAACCTCAGAGGTTCAGATGGAACTCAAACCAAACATGAGTTAAAAGCCAGAGCAAAAAGTGAGATTTGAGACGGGATTTAAAGGACTGTATGGACTCTGCAGAACAAACATCAGTGTATTGTTCCAGAGTCTGGGGGGGCCGCCATAGCAAAAGCCCATCCCCTCTGCATTTTTATTTTGCCCTCAGCTGCGCTAAAAGCATCTGACTGGAGGATCTCAGTACTCTGGATTATAAAATGCAACATATCCATTAAGTAACTGGGTGCCAAGCCCTTTACAACTTTAAAAGTCAGTAAAAGAATCTTAAAGTCAATACAAAGTAGAACAGGTAGCCAGTATGTCAACTAAAACAGGAGGGATGTGGTCATGCCTTCTGGTTCCTGTTAAAAGACAGCAGCGTTCTGGACCAACTGCAGGCGATGGTTCTGGTCCAACGTACAAAGAGTTGTACAACTCCATTCTGCATTATTGCAGATCTGTTGCTCTCATCTAACAGGATGCTAAATGGGTCTTTGTTTCTACGGTAACAAAACAAAAACATCCTCTTGTACTTTAGGACATTGCCAACGCCTGGAAGGGTCTGGAGCAGGTGGAGAAGGGCTATGAGGAGTGGCTGCTCACCGAGATCCGCCGTCTGGAGAGACTCGACCACCTCGCCGAGAAGTTCAAGCAGAAGTGTGCCATGCACGAGTCCTGGACTGCAGGTAGAGACAACAGGAGGCAATGGTAAACAACGCAAAGGGCTTTGTTGTTGTTGAATAAATAAGTAGGTCCAAGCACATTAGTGATCAAATTAATTTATGGGGACAGTGTGAACAAAGCAGCCGCAGACATGAAGACAGCCCAAAGATTATTAACACTTCGAGTCCCAACATCTGTGCACATGGGAGCAGTTTTTAAATCAGAAATCTGTTTCAGGTAAGGAGGAGCTTCTGTCCCAAAAGGATTACGAGTCGGCTTCTCTGATGGAGATCAGAGCCTTGATGAGGAAGCACGAGGCTTTCGAGAGCGACCTCGCTGCTCACCAGGACAGAGTGGAGCAGATCGCAGCCATCGCCCAGGAGCTGAAGTAAGATGGTGGGGGCAAAGAGTTTCAGAGGCCATGACACGTTGAGATGAAAAACAGTCATCAGCAGGATGAAAGTGCCCTGACAAACAGAAACCTTTGAACTACTGCAGATTTCTCACAACTCTTCAAGTCTTTGAAGTTCTCTGCGTTTCACGAGGTTTAGTTTCATAACTCGATCTGTGATCGTAACGCAGTTTATCTCGCACAGCTTCAAAAGTACGTCTCAAAAGGCTCATTCTTCTGATACGATCGCTCGTTTGTAAGATTTTTTTAACATATCTAGAATAAGATATCAGCTAACAGTTTGTCAGTTCACTGGATTATTTCTCAGTCCTATAATCATGTTGATATAAACATTAAAAATATAGCTTATACACTGTAACTCGCTCTGGAGTATAGGTCGCATTTATTTAGACGTGTATTTCACAAAGTGCAAGAACAGACATTTAATCTGAACAGTAACGCACAGAACAAACCTGGGATCCAGAACAGGTTTAATTAACAGAACAAGCCAATGAGTCCGACAAGAAAGTTACTGGTAAATTCACCGATCTCATTCCACATCACTTTTGGGGGCATTTTACTTGTGTTAAGTTTTTCTCAGTTGTCTCTAAGTGAATGTTTGCGGGGTGGGGGGTTCACAGTAGAGGAACATCAAATAGTTGTCAAAAGCCTAGAGGGCCCTCTAGTAGTTGCAAATGGTAATGTTTACTCTTTGGTTCATGTCAGTATGAATGAACATTTAACACATCAGTCAACAATTACGTCATGAATAGAGATAAAAAAAAATGTTTTCATGTTGCTTCGGACTATACGTCGCTGGTCTGGTCAAACTATGAAAAAAAAAAGTGACATAGTCCAGAAAATACAGAACCTGCTGAATCCTGGACAGGGTCGAGGAGTTGTGTCCAGCAGTCTTTGTTGTCACATATAGAAATAAACACTCATTAAAGGACAGTGAAGAGTTACCACCCAACCTAACCAGCATGTTCAGGAGTCGATCACTCGACTTTCTTGCTGACCACCTTCTGCACCGCGCAGCCCTTTAGTTACTGATGCACAGCGCAGCCCTTTAGTTACTGATGCACCGCGCAGCCCTTTAGTTACTGATGCACAGCACAGCCCTTTAGTAACGGATGCACAGCGCAGCCCTTTAGTAACTGATGCACAGCGCAGCCCTTTAGTAACTGATGCACAGCGCAGCCCTTTAGTTGCTGATGCACAGCACAGCCCTTTAGTAACTGATGCACAGCGCAGCCCTTTAGTTACTGATGCACAGCGCAGCCCTTTAGTAACTGATGCACAGCGCAGCCCTTCAGTTACTGATGCACAGCGCAGCCCTTTAGTTACTGATGCACCG